CTGAGATCGAAAGTTCAAGACCAGTCTGACCAAAATGGAGAAACCCTGTCTCTACTAAACTAAAAATACAAAATTAGTCACTCGTGGTGGTGCATGATTATGATCCCAGCTGCTACTCAGGAGGCCGAGGCAGGAGAATCCCTTGAACCTGGGAGGCGGAGTTTGCGGCAAGCCGAGATCATGCCACTGCACTCCAACCTGGGCAACAAGAGCGACACTCCGTCTTGTTTCAAAAAAAAAAAAAGAGGAAAAAAAAAGTCAGAATAAAATGAAAGGCCAGGAATAAGAACACAGATAAGCAGGTCATAGGGGCTTACACAGTTATTAAAATTGGGTCATACGTTTGGCTGTGAACTTCCTGGTGGCCAAAACTAAAAGGAAAACACATGTATGTGCTTTTCTCACTGTCTCTAAGAAGAAACACAGTGTTCCTGGAGACTCAGTGTTTCCCTAGTTCCAGGTTTCAATTTTTCAGGGGCTTTATATAGTGATTTTGAGTAATAAGCAATATCCTTGTATTCATTACCTATGGTTGGGTAAAAATCACCCCAAATTTAGCAGCTTAATAAACAATACACTTTTTTTTCCCTCACCGTTTCAGTAGGCTTGGAATCTGGGTGAGGTTAGCTATGTCCTCTGGCTCAGGCTCTCACAAGGATGCAATGAAGCTGTCAGTCAGGGCTGCAGCTCTCTCAGGGCTTCAGGATCCTCTTTCAAACTCACTTCCATGGCTCCTGGCAGGCCTCAGGTCCTCTCTGTCTGTTGGCTGGAGACCTCAGTTCCTGTCCACTTCCACCTCTTCCTAAGAAGCAGCTGGCTTGCCTCAGGGCTAGGGAGGAGAAAGAGGAAGAGAGAGAAAATGAAAATGAGAGAGAGATCACAGTCCTTTTTTGTAACCTAATCCCAAAAGTGATATCCCATCACTTTCACATATTCTATTGCTACTTAGAAAATAGCACCTAGGTCCAGCAAGGCGCGATGGCTCACACCTGTAATCCCAGAATTTTAGGAGGCCAAGGTGTGTGGATCACCTGAGGTCAGGAATTCAAGCCCAGCCTGACCAATATGGTGAAACACCGTCTCGACTAAAAATACAAAAATTAGCTGGACGTAGTGGAACACGCCGGTAATCCCAGCTACTTGGGAAGCTGAGGCAGGAGAATCCCTTACACTCAGGAGGAGGAGGTTGAAGTGAGCTGAAATCGCACCATTGCACTTCAGCCTGGCCTAGAAGGCAAAACTCTGTCTCAAAAAAAAAGAAATAAATAAAAGAGTCCCAATAGTCCCTAGGTCCAGCCCATGCTCAAAGGGAGAAGATTATACAGGACATGAATATGAGGAGGCTGTTTACCACAGTCCTCAAAAACACCCTTACTGTGCCCTCTCACAACATTTTGAGAGGCTGAGGCAGGAGGATTGCTTGAGGCCAGCAGTTCGAGACCAGCCTGAACAACATAGGGAGCTCTGGTCTCTGCAAAAAATATACAAAATTAGCCGGGTGTGGTGGTGCATGCCTGCTGTTCCAGGTACTTGGGAGGCTGAGGGGAGAGGACTGATTGAGCCCAGGGGTCTTGGGACAGAGGTGTGGGTTGAGGCTGCAATGAGCCAACGTTGCCCCACTGCGCTCCCACCTGAATGACAGAGTGAGACCCTGATTTAAAAAAAAAAAAAAAAAATCCTCACTCTGCATCCCTAATGATTTTCATAATTCTAAGTGGACTCCTGCATCTTCCCTTCTTATTGATTCCTTTACTCAGT